ATAAAAGTGGATGTTCCCCATAATCCCATCTGAGAATAAAGCACTGATACATATTTTCCTCCAAAAATTTTTGGGGGCTTATGTTACTCTATGAATTAACATTTACTTTTGTAGTAATGGGATTACAACATTTTTTTTGTTTGCTTTATTTAATGAGTAAAGAATCTTGGAGATATATAATGCCAGTTACATATAGGTCTACCTTATTCATTAAAAAAAATTTTTTAAATTCTTGTTAGAGAGGGGGAGGGAGAGAGGGAAACATCAGTATGTAGTTGCCTCTCAAGTGCACCCTGCTGGAGACCTGGACTAGAACCCAGGCCTGTGCCCTGATTGGGAATTGAACTTGTGACCTTTTGGTTCACAGGCTCGCATTCAATCCACTGAGCCACACCAGACAGGGCTACCTTATTCTTTTCAATGGCCTTATAAGTATTTTATTGTATTCATGCACCAGAGTTCTTTATACTCTACTGAACCATGGAAGTTTCCATTTTTTGCCGTGATGAACAGTGCACTTCTTTATATATGCATCTATACACTCTTGTGTGAATATTTCTGTTGAAAAATTCCTAGACATGGAATTACTGTGTCAAAGTCATGAGTCTTTTTTTATATTATATTGCCAGACCTTTAAAAAGGTTGTACATATTTACTGTTACACAAACCACGTATGAGACTTTTTTTAGAGTAGCCCTCTGTCTCTGCTACTTCAGCTGGAAGACCAACTCGAGGAGTGGTTGGGGAAGACATTGCCTGGCAGTGACTGGACACCCAATGCCCGGTTCATCATTCGTTCTTGGCTTCGGGATGGCCTTAAGCCACGCTGCATAACCCGAGACCTCAAATGGGGAACCCCTGTACCTTTAGAAGGTTATGAAGACAAGGTAAGAATTCCATGCTTTGTTCACATCTTGTATTATTCAGCCTTGGGGTTGATACCCTTGGCTAACAGAATGCACTGTTGACTGTGTCTTATTTCATTCTGAGACTTTGGGTTGGTGAGGGTTTCCCAATTTTTTTAAACTAAATTTATTGGGGTTACATAGGTCAATAAAATTATATAGGTTTAAAGTGTGTTTCTAATGCTTTTTTTTAAATCCTACCATGTCTCTCTCTTCCTGACCATCCAGGTATTCTATGTCTGGTTTGATGCCACTTTTGGATACCTGTCTATCACTGCCAACTACACAGACCAATGGGAGAGATGGTGGAAGAACCCAGAGCAAGTAAGTAGTTCTTGGTTAGCCTGTCTATGAGGACAGTGCATGCATGTGTGTGTGGTGGAAGGGAGGTGGTATTAGGGTTGGGTATCTGATCTTTCTTTGGTCTTTGAAGAAGGTCTCAGAAGCTCTCCTTCCAACTGTGTTCTGTAGGTGAACCTCTATCAGTTCATGGCCAAAGACAATGTTCCTTTCCATGGGTTAGTCTTTCCTTGTTCAGCCCTAGGAGCTGAGGACAACTACACGTTGGTCAACCATCTCATTGCTACAGGTACCTTGGAAGACTGAACTAGGCATATTCCTAGGGAATGAGGGCTAAGGCAATACTTGGAAGATTTTGGAAAGGTGGTATGTCTTGCATTAGGAGTTGAGATGAGATAGGAAATAATTTAAACATGAGAACTCAACCCAGAAGGAAACAAGAACCTGAAGAAAACAAGAGTCCAAAGCTAAAACTTTGTAATGGATAGAAGCAAAGTGGGGAAAGGCCAGAATGGAGAGGCAAGATCTCCCAAGTTCTCTGCAGGCCAGCTACTCAAGAAGTGTTGCTGGACACCCACAGTTGAGTTCAAAGAAGAAGAAAGGAGAGTTAGTAGGTCAGAGAGGGGAGAATGTGACTTGAGCAGATGGTTCTTTCATTTTCTTTCTCTGTCCAGAGTATTTGAATTACGAGGATGGAAAATTCTCAAAGAGCCGGGGTGTAGGAGTGTTTGGGGACATGGCCCAGGACACAGGGATCCCTGCTGACATCTGGCGCTTCTATCTGCTATACATTCGGCCTGAGGGCCAGGACAGTGCCTTTTCATGGACAGATATGTTACTAAAGAATAATTCTGAGCTGCTTAACAACCTAGGCAACTTCATCAATAGGTAGGACTTGGTGAGGGATCATTTAGCAAATGAGCTGGGGTGGGGCTAACTCTGCTCCGTGAAGGCGGAGAGATGGGAATGCCAAGCTGCTTAGTGAATGGGCAGGAGGTGGGAGGGATGGGTAGGACCACATGGAAAGTGGATTTCTATTGAGGCTTGCTCCAGGAATATAGTAGGCTATGTATGCTTGGGAGAAGTTGGTCATAGAGATGCAATTTAGCAAAGTTCACCAAGTTTTGCAAGTTGTTCTCTTTTAATATTCTGTGTAGAATTAGAATTGTGTTCTCACAAAAAATGTTCAGTTGCAGACTGTTGAAGTTTGGCTGAAAAAGGTTTTATTTTAGTGTAGGGATAGGGAGCTTATGCTGTACTCTTTGGAATGGTTACTTTAGCTCACATTTAATTTTTGGTCCCTACATTAGCTACTCTGTGATCTAAAGAAATATCTGTGCCCTGGCTGGTGTGGACTGAGTGCTGGTCTGTAAACCAAAGGGTCATGAGTTCAATTCCCAGTCAGGGCACATGCCTGGGTTGCATGTGCAAGCAACCCAGGCAAGATCCTGAGTAGGGGGCATGCAAGAGGCAATCACACATTGATATTTCCCTCCCCCTCTCTCTCTCTAAAAATAAATAAATAAAATCTTTAAAAACAAAAACATCCTTCATGGCTACCTACCCTTTCAGATTTGGTCATTAACTACATTTAACAGATGAGCTGGAGAGAAATTAGAGTATTAGAGTATTTGATGGCAATTTACATATATTTCAACTTGATCATTCTGAATGTTTTTTTTTTAATGGTTACTTTATCAGGTTTCTTTAGACAAGGGGTATCTGTATGTGAACTGTTTTGTTCATGTGCAGAGCCACATTCTTAGGGAGAGAATGAGGAATTAGTTGGTTAAGCTTCGCCTTGCAGCTTGAGGGAGTCGGGAGGTATCAGTTCCGAGAGAATGTGGAATTATGAAAATCAGGTCAAATTTCTATAAGGAGACTGGAAGATAACTCCTTTTTCTCTCCCCTTCCTTTCCTACTCCTATCAAGAGCTGGAATGTTTGTTTCTAAGTTTTTTGGGGGTTCTGTGCCCGAGATGGTGCTCACCTCTGACGATCAGCGCCTGCTGGCCCATGTCACCCTGGAGCTCCAGCACTATCACCAGCTGCTAGAAAAGGTTCGGTAAGTAACCTACAGCTGTCTTATCTCAGTGATCTGCTGGCACGTTGGGAGCCCCATACTGGTCCCTCCAGGACCTTACACCTTGGCCTGCCTCCCCCTTCCCAGGATCCGGGATGCCTTACGCAGTATCCTTACCATCTCTCGTCACGGCAACCAGTACATTCAGGTGAATGAACCCTGGAAGCGGATTAAAGGCAGTGAGGCTGACAGGTAAGGAGGTAGGATTGGCTATAGGGATCAAGTATCTGGTAGGCTGTATCCTCTTGGAGGTCCTGACTAGTGTCTCTTTTTCCCTAGGCAACGGGCAGGGACAGTGACAGGCTTGGCAGTGAATATAGCTGCTCTGCTGTCCATCATGCTCCAGCCGTACATGCCCACAGTTAGCTCTACCATTGCGGCCCAGCTGCAGCTCCCACCTCCTGCCTGCAGTGTCCTGCCCACAGACTTCCTGTGCACCTTACCAGCAGGACATCAGATTGGCACAGTAGGTCTCTGAGGATCAGGAAAGCCGGTTGCTCTTAAAATTCCTACGTTTGCCATGCTTCCTTTAGGAAGGGCCAGAGAATTTTAGGCATGGGATTCTCACAGCTATTCTCTGAAACCCTTCTGCACTCATCCTCATTCTGCAGTGAGGCTTGTTTCTGATATATTGACTCACAAGCCCAGTGTTTTCTGTTGCCCATATTTCCTCATCCTTCATGCCAGAACTAAAGAGCTGGCACATGTAACTGACACACAGATGTTTGAAGTGATACCATGGTCACCTGGTCTCCATAATGCTAATAGGCAGTGCACCAGCCAACATCATTGAATAGTTTTGTCTTGAACTCTGTTAATACTTTGGGTTTTCATAGTGACTGGCAGGGTTTTTTTCTGGATTCTTTACTGAAATCAGTGGGTATTTGTTCAGTGTTACCTCATATTCCTTCTAAAGATTGAGTCCCTCAATCTCAGTGATTGGGGTTGGAGAGGCCCTTTGTATAGTCTGGTAGAGTTTATACCTAATCAGTGAATGATTCTAGAACTTCTTTTTATAGGTCAGTCCCTTGTTCCAAAAATTGGAAAATGACCAGATTGAAAGTTTGAGGCAGCGCTTCGGTGGGGGCCAGGTAAGAAAGCTAGGCCATGCTCTCAGCCAGTAACAACCACCTCCTTGTGTCCAGTGTCACCTCCTTGGTGTCCCTAAGTGGTCCTCCTCCCTTATCATTCTTTCCGCCTTTTGGCCCTCTACTTCCTCACCTATAGTTTTTCTTTCCTGTCTTAGATGGAAGAGTCCTTGGCATTAAAGGTTAATCCCTTTCCTTGAGATGTTACATAAAACTTGAGGTCAAGGGATATTTATGGTAGCAGGTGATAAGTCTGTTGTTGTTTTCCAGGCAAAAGTGTTCCCCAAGCCAGCAGCTGTAGAGACTGTGACAACAGCTGGACCACAGCAGATACAAGAGCTAATGGATGAAGTGACAAAACAGGTATGAAGCTTGAACCCTGTGGGTGAGACTAGAACACTTGAACCCTACACAGGTCCTTTCTGGTCTCACTGTTGTTATTCCCCCACCCCCTTCCTCTTCTTTTAGGGTAACATTGTCCGAGAACTGAAAGCACAAAAGGCAGACAAGAACCAGGTTGCTGCAGAGGTGGCTAAACTCTTGGATCTGAAGAAGAAGTTGGCTCTAGCTGAGGGGAAACCCCTTGAAACCCCTAAAGGCAAGAAGAAAAAGTAAAAGTGAGAACTTGGCTCATAGAGTCACTTTAATGAATATGGACAGTAATAAAATAAATGTACAATCTCTATATACATGCTGAGACCCTTTCCTGTTGTCTACCCCAAGCTTTCCCCCTACTGTAGGTATGGGGTTGAGGGTCACATCACTAACACTAGTGAGAAGGTGGTTAGTAGCCATGTCTGGGAAAGGATGGTACTGGCCCGAGGGGGAAGTAACGGTCCCAAGCGTTCATACTTGGTGCAGATTGACCATTCTGTCAATTAGAGCTCGGCGAGTCGCCTCCACTTCTCTGGTCAGGCGCTCAATTTCCTGCTTGAGCCGTTCATTCTCTTCAGCTAGCTGTGCTGCTTTCCTTTCATTCTCTTGCTCTTTATCCTTCATACGTTGCTTTCCAGCCCGGGCTGGGGACTGATCACTTCGTTTCCGTTTCCTGGGTATTCCTTGTTCTTCTTCTCCCTCCTCCTGAGCCAGAGAGCTCTGAGTGGAATCTGGAGAGCAAGGGCTCTGGGAGATACCTGTGACTTCTGCTGGTCCTGGTTCCTCAGTCAGCCAAGCCAGAGAGGCAGGGTCAAGAGTGGTGAAGGTTTTTGATTCTTCCTTCAAGGGAATGAGGAAAGGTAGGCACTTTTAGTTGAGAAGGAACATCAACATCCCCCCTGGATTTAGGTGTAACATTCTTACCTCCTCATTTCCAGGGGGTGAGACATAGGCACCTGCATTTTCATCTGAAGACAACACTTCCTGCAGATCCTCATACCATGCTTCCAGTTCCCAGCTGGACAGTGTCCCAAAGGAGAAAGGCAAAGACTCGGCTGCCATCACTGCAGCTATATCAGGCTCTGGAAAAGGATATACTGGGGATAGTGGGGGGAGGATGGGGGATGGAACAAGCACCTCGAAGCAGTCAAACAGTCTGTACCACAGGCTGGCAAACTGGCTTGCTGCCTGTTTGGCAGTAAAGTTTTATTAGAACACAACTACATCTATTGATTTATATAATTTTTATGGCTACTTTTATGCTACAACACCGGAGATGAATAGTTGTTATGGAAACTGTGTGGCCGTCCGTATTTAAAATATTTACTATCTGGCCCTTTAAAATTTACCAACCCTGGGTCTATACTAATATTCCCTCCTTGCTTTTGCCCCACACTTGAAGCAACAAGTGCCTGGATACACATTCTTATGGGATCCTGGTAAGTTAGCCTCCCTGAGCAACTCCATTGGTAATTTCTAAGAGTAATTACCATGCCATTTGTGCTTCTTTCTCCTGTGTGTGGAGTCCTATGGGTTAGTCTAACCTTGATGGGGATTGAAGTGTGGTAAGACAAACCAATTATCTTTGTTGGGGCCAGTGCTTACTCAGTGCTAGCTTTCAATTAGGACATGCTCTAAGAATAGAGACTTGGTCCCTGTTACAGGCAGGCCAAGTGGATGGAGAGCAAAAGCCTGCTAAAATTCAAACCCTCCTCTTATATCATCTCTAGGTGTTTTCATAGCTTCTTAGGGTCCCAATAATGCGAGCCTAATCAGCACCTCTTAGGAGTCAGTTTTGGGAAAGGGCTGGTTAAGTTTACCTGCTTTCAGGTGTGGTGATATATGAAGATACACTTCCTTCTGGAACACTGTGGGGATCAAAAATACGTGTGTTAGCCATTTTTGGAAGGGGGAGGGGCAGGTTCTTTTACTTTATCTTCAGCCTTCTATTGATCCTTCCTTACTTCCTGTCTTACAGAATATGGATAGTTAACAGTCCCTATAGCCATTTCCAAGGACAGAGGAGAGCCTAATTTCCATTATTTTTAGCTGCTGACACTTGTAGTCTGGATTACATAATAGGAAAGCCCTGGCCATTTCAGCTTTCTCTAAATTCAAGGCAGGCCTCAAACCTGCCAGGGTAAGGCCTGCACCACAGCGAAGGGAACAAATCAAGTGACATTTTCCTAATTCCATTCTCAAACTGACATCCTCTAAATGTACATTCCCAGTATGGACCTCCAATGCTGTTATCTGTTTACTTGCCATCTCCTTTGGGTGTCTAATAGGCATCTCAGACTTCATATGGCCAAAACCAAAATCCTAATCTTCCCCCTCCGAAGTTTTCCACATCTGGTAAGTGACAAATCTAGTTGCTTCAGCAAAAAACCTTGGTATCTGCATTGATTCCTCTCCTCTTACACCTCACAATCCAATCCAAACTACCAGCAAAATTTCTTAACTCATTCTCCAGAAACCCAGAATCTAAATATTTCTCAACAATTTCACTATTATCAAGTTACTATATCTTTTGGATGACTGCAGGTCTTTCAGTTTCTGCTCTTGCCACCCCTCCCTGAGTCTATTTACAACACAGCAGCCAAAGTGGGCCTTTGAAAACCTGAGTCAGGTCCTGCCATTCTTCTGTTCAAAACCATCCAGTGACTTCCAATTTCACACATATTAAAGGCTAACATCCTGCTCTGGCTGGTGTGGCTCAGTGGATTGAGCATCAGTCTGTGTACCAAAAGGTTGCCAGTTCGATTCACAGTCAGCACATGCTTGGGTTGGAGGCCAGGTCTCCAGTTGGAGCATGTGAGAGGCAAACAATAGATGTTTCTCTCCCTCCCCTCCTTTCCTTCTCTCTAGAAAACAAAAAAAAAAAAAATATATATATATATAATTTAAAAGGCTAACATCTTTAAAATGGCTTTAAAGGCCCACACAGTCTGCTCCTTCTCTGCCCTGGATTTCTCATTGAGCGCTCTCTTGCTCACCCAGGTCCAGGCAGTTGGCTCTTTATTCCCTAAAGATACTATGCATGATCCCACCTTAGAACCTCTATTCTTGCTGTTCCTTCTTCTGTAAAACTCTTCCTTCCACATACCTGCATGGCTTACCCCTTCACCTCTTTTAAGTCTTTCATTTAATGGTCATCTCTGAGGGAATCCCTGATCACCCAATGTAAAACTAACCCTCACTCAAAGCATTCTTTACCCTTCCATTAGTTTTCGCTATGGTACTTCTGTTTACTGTATGCCTCTTCCCACTGAACTGTAAGCTCTGTGAGGGCACATATTTTTTCCCCTCTTGTTCATGGATGTATACTGGGCCCCAAACTGCACTTAGTAGGTGCTTGTTAGGAATGAATGGATAAATTCTCCCCAGTTTCTCTCAGGGAAGGGAGGGTGAAGCCCAGAGCAGAGCAGCAGCTGCCTATCCCTGGGGACTGTAGATGCAATATCGCCCCAAGTGTTTCTCTGCAGGACTGTCCTCCCTGGGGAAACTTCCTTGCCTTCCAGTGCCTGGAACGGGGCTTTCATCAGCAGTGGAGCCCCAGGCCAGAGGGCTGTACAGTCAGTCGGGGGCTGGCCTGATGCAATGGTTACACAGAGATAGTTGGAGACAGGACAGAGGAAAAGAGGCAGGGACCAATCTCAAGAGAAGGACAATACTCTGGGGAGACCCCAAATGACTTCCCACACTTAAGAAATCCAAGATGCTCTCTCGTGCAGGAGGCCCACGGACCTCTGGGATAAAGGGAAAAACCCATCTCCTTTCCTTGGCCATGGGTACCCGGCCTCCAAAAGGCTGTCATTCTCCTGAAAGTTCTGTCCACTGCTAGAGTTCAGCATGGCTGTCCTGTGTAGGGTTTACAAACCCCAGCTACGTCTGTAGCCATCCTGGCACTGAGACGCTGCCTTCGATACAAGATTGGGGGTGGGAATGCTGGTGGCAGAGCCAAGACAGCGGCCTAATCTGCGGTCCAACATAGGGATAGGGGGTGTGTCTTGCTGCTCCACCTCCCACCAGACAGGCCTAACGCGGAGGCCGGAGGTAAGCAACTGTAGAGAATATGACCTCCCAAGAGCAGCTAGGCCCCTTCTCTCCAGGCAGGGGTGGAGTGACGCTGTCGTCCGAAGGAAGCAGAGTGTGTAACACCTCTCCCGAATAAAGGATCTCGCCATCTCTTCCTCGAACCGTCGCTAACTTTCATTATAGAGGGTTTAGTGCCACATCCTAAAGACCGGATGCCGCACTTTGAGCCGACAACGTCGCGAAGATGGAAGGGTAAGAGGTAGATGGGCGATCGGTACTCACCTCTCTCCTCAAATTCCAGCTTTGATTTTGGCTCCGTCGCTGCCACCCGCTCATTTTCAACATTATATCCACTGTGTCTTAGACTCCAGCCTCTGACCTCGGTATCCTAGAGCAGTGATCTTTTAACAGGGCCTTGCCCTCCTCTCAGGGGCGGACCCAGAAGCTAGCTAATTAGAAAGCGGCACGCTGGCGTTGGCCCCGCCTCTCCCTTACAACCGCCACTCAGGAGCCTCGCGGTACGGCCCCGTCGCTCCCTCCTCCTTGCGGGTCGACGTCTCGCTGGACCCGGAAGTGGCTTTGGGTCACGAGGATCCGCAGAGGAGGTGAGTGAGTCATGCGCGCGCGCGGACGGGGAGAGCTCTGGAAGGGGGAGGGGAGGACGGGGGGCGGGGATGATGCAATGTTTGGCAACCAGTGTCTGCGCGCGCAAGCGCAGGGGACTAGGAGAGTGGTGGGAGGTGCGGGGGGTGGGAGGTAGAGGAGAGAAGGCGGGGCACTAGCTCCCGGCACCCAACGTCCCCAACGGTTATCAACCTTGGCTGCTCCAGAGGCTGACGGAAGAAACCTTACTGTACCTTGCCTACCTCAGGAGCTATTGGTCCGCCCCCTGGCATTAGCCCCCGTTTTACCTCCTCCTTAAAGCTGCCGTTTTTTTCTTGGCCTCTTCCCGGCTAATAATGGGCACGAAGTCTTTTAAAAACCTCTGCTTTCAAAGTTTGCATTCATCCGCCAAGATTTTCTACACCTCGAGTCTTTTTAAAGGGGTCTCATCTTTTAGTCTCCTAACTACCTAAAATGGGACTGAGGTACTTGAATCCCTTTGGTAGTCATTTTCAGCTCCTTTCAGAAGATCAGCCTTAACTTTAATGAGCCCTTAAAATTAGAACTCAGTTTCTTTTCCTGAGTAGGCCTGATTCTGTTTCCCCACTCATCTCCCCTCATATTGTTCTAGTGCCCTTCACCAAAGACCAAAACCCAGCCTTTTCACTGAACCAGGCAGTAAGTCCTGTGACTACCTGATCTGAGGAGATGGGCATAGGTCTCCTGCCTCCTAGGTGTTTGGGCTACAGTAGAGCCTCGTTGCGTGCACATTAGCACACGGCCTTGAGATTGTCAGGAGAGGTCAGATTCTAGCTTCAGCTGCCCCTCACTTGCCCAGGAATCCCAGTTCAGCCACTAATCTCTCTGTGCCTCACCGTTCTTGTTTGTAAATAAAAAATGAGTTGTGAAGGTAAAAAGAGGGGACTGTGAACTTTGAGGCAGCTTGAACAAAAGTGAACAGCACCATGCAAAACCCAAAGTATTTTTCTTTTTAGGTAGAAAACAGGCTATGGGGTGGCCTGTTACAGATCCTGTCGTACTTTCATGGGACAGCCAGAGTTCGTCTAAGTAAAAACTGTCAGAAGGATGGTGTAGCTGAAAGGCTGGTATAGATTGTGATCTGACAGTGACAGGTCCTTGGGCAGGCGTGCTCCATTGCTCCAGACCTCCATTTCCCCTCAGTAAATGGGGCTGGCAGCAGGCTGGGCCGAATGCACTCTCCGGGTTCAAAGACATGACCAGATTGTCAGTGACAGGCAGAGGTCATGTGACTTGACTGGCCGAGGTCGTGTTGTGACTTGTTGACCTGGGGAGGTGGGTCAAGTCCCACCCAGTACAGAACTCGGGAAGCCTTTGGGGCAGGGAAGGGCAAGCCGCGACTTTCATCTTTGGGGGCTGGCCCCTCCCGGACCGGGCATTCCTGGCTTCTTCGACAGATTGCGGCTTTGGAAAGGTTCCTCCCTGGGGAAAGCTGGGATTGGCCACCAGTGGTCTGGGAAGAGAGTCAGATCCTTCCGCGGAGGGGAGGACAGGGCGGGGCGGGGGGGCCGCGTGGGGTGTTTGTTCTCTTGGGGATTAATGGGGAGTTGTGGGGGAGGGGTAGGCGCGCTCCCGCATGCGCACTGCGGCCCCTCCTGTTGGCTCGTCGTTGTCCGCTGGGCGGGGGCCCGACCCCGCCCCTCTCCCGTCCGGGCGGCGGCGGCGTCTGTGGCAGTGGCGGCGGCGGCAGCAGCGACGGCGGCGGCGGTAGCAGCCTGCGCGGTGCCTTCTGGGAACGGAATCCCCAGGGCTGCCCCTGGCCCCTATGGCGCATGCGCGGGAGGCCGCTCGGTGATCCGCGGCGGCGGCGGCGGCGCTTCCTGCTAGGACCGGCTGGGGCCGTACCGGAGGCTCGGGCTCCACCGACCCTCCTCCCACTCCCTCCCACTCACCCTCTGGGCCGTGACTGCGCAGGGCGGGGCCGGCCGAACCATGGGCCGCGGTGAGTGCAGGGCCCGGCCCCCCCACCCCGCCCCTCCCCCTCCCCCCTACCCTCTGCCCCCTTCGAGTCCTCTCGGCCCCCTTCTCTGGCCCCATTCGTACTCCCCCGCCCTCACCTGCCCCCACCGTTTCCCCCTCTTACTGCTTGACTTTTGCCTTCTTCACCTCCCTCCCCTCAGTGCCTTGCCCACCCTCCGCCCGCCTTCTCCCCAAGTTCCTTCCTACTTCGTGCGCCTTCCCCTCCTCCCCAAGCTAAGGGAAGCAGTCTCGGTGACAGGGCGCCTTGTTAAGAGAGGGAAAGTTTTGAAGCCGCCAGTGTGGGGGGGCAGCGATAGTGAGGTTGAGGAGGATACTTACAGGTTTGAGGGGCGGCCCCACATATTTGAGGAGAATCCTTGTTGGAGTTAATTTGAAGTCTGTGGGATAGGAGGTGCTGAAACCCCTTGCCTTAGGCTTGGGGGGAAATCAGGAGCTTCTAAGGATCCTGGGACAAGAGCTGTGATTCCAATCTTTCTTAAGAACGCCCAAATGAACCAGATCAGCATGGGGGGGCAGATCTGTTGGTCCCACCCAAGCTGGCAGTTAGGCAATGGCCCGGTGACATGTGGGACAATCTGTACGTTTTATATGACCTGCCTGTATGTGTGTGTGGGGGGGGGCGGGTACTGGAACAGCAGGGGTCAGGCTCTCTGAGAAACTTCCTAGTGGTCTGGCATTATGGGAATTTGCCCACACTCCTGGGTGAAGTCTTCTGTCCCTGATGGGGCAAAAGGACCCTGCTCTTTATACATGTAGAGATTGGGCCATGATTCCTTGGTCCTTGGAGGTGGAGGCTTTGACTCTCTGGTCCCTAAGGACTGCACATGTAAAGGTTGGTTGTGGATTCAGCTAGCATATCCCAGAGATTTTTATGGGAACTTCATTCAGGATCTTTCCTTTGAGAGTATCTTGAACTGTTGTGCTCTCCTGAGTTGGATAGATTCCTGACAGTCCCTTCTCTCTCCTGTCTTGCAGGTGTGGGCTAAGCCGGCGGCCCCGGCTTTAGACTGGACCCCACAATGTTTGCAGAGATGTTCAGGTAACCATGGTGGGATGGCAGAGGGCTTCCCCCTTTCTGTCTCCCAGCTCTCTGAGGGTTTCCCCTTACCTCTGGGTTCTCTTGGGTCTCCCCACAACCTTTGCCTTCCTGGAGTACTCCCTCAGGTACCCAGCCCAATTGAATCTTAATGCCCACATGGATGCTTTATCAGGCACGTGGGAGCTGATTACACACAATGAATGGGGGCAATGAGAGCAGTGGAGCAGACAGAGCTGGGGGCCCTGTGGCTACATCTGTCCCGATCGGCTGGCAGCGCTGTGTTCGAGAGGGTGCTGTGCTCTATATCAGGTAGAGATCCTCCAAGTTCCCTGAATTCTACCCCTACGCCCTTCAGTTGCCTGAGTTTTCTCTCTCACACTCCATCTCTCAAAGCTCGGGTTTCTGGTACCCTGTTGCTCTTCTGTTCGTCCTTCCTTCCTCAACCTTTTTGGTTTTTGTCTCTGAATCTGTTCTCCTCCTTTCTGTCTCTTTCTACATACCTTATGCTTAATCCTTCCTAGGAGGGTCTTTGATTAAGGAAGTATCATTTAGGAATGTCTCCTGATTCAGTGTCAACTAACCCCATACTCTCTGACCCTGTCCTCTTCCAGCCCAAGTGGCACAGAGCTGTCTTCCTTGGAGCAAACCCGGAGCTACCTCCTCAGCGATGGGACCTGCAAATGCGGTCTGGAGTGTCCACTCAATGTCCCCAAGGTCAGACTGATGAGGGGTGCCAAAGGGTACAGGGATAAGCTTAGAGACTTAATGCAAATCACTGCCCATGGTAGGTAGTCTTTGTCGAAGCTCCACCTCCTCAGGGTCCCTGTCCATGCCTTCTACCTTTCAGGTTTTCAACTTTGACCCTTTGGCCCCGGTGACCCCAGGTGGGGCTGGGGTGGGGCCAGCATCAGAGGAGGACATGACCAAGCTGTGCAACCACCGCCGGAAAGCTGTTGCTATGGCAACCTTGTACCGCAGCATGGAGACCACCTGCTCACACTCTTCTCCTGGTGAGTCTTCTCCACTTTACAGAAGACTGAGTACAACTTAAGTGCCTGGAAGAGGAATGGTGGGAGGAGCTTTATGAGAAAGAGAAAGAAGAAGGGTGGATTGAGGAGCTGCTTGGTGAGAGGGTACAGGCAGGTTGGGAATTTATGAAGATAAAAAAAAGTTCTTGGAAGGGGAGCTACAGGCTAACCCATCATTTCTTATTTATTGCAGGAGAGGGAGCGAGCCCCCAAATGTTCCACACTGTGTCCCCAGGGCCTCCGACTGCCCGCCCTCCTTGTCTTGTCCCTCCTACAACTCCACTTAATGGGGGTCCCGGCTCCCTTCCCCCAGAACCACCCTCAATTCCACAGGCCTTCCCCCCTCTAGCAGGCCCTGGGGGGCTCTTCCCACCGCCAAGACTTCCTGACCCAATCCCCTCTGGAGGCAGCAGCAGCCCCTGTTTCCTCCCAAGAGGCAATGCTCCCTCTCCAGCTCCACCTCCTCCACCTGCCATTAGCCTCAATGCCCCTTCATACAACTGGGGAGCTGCCCTCCGATCCAGTCTGGTACCCCCTGACCTGGGCTCTCTTCCAGCCCCCCATGCCTCCTCCTCACCACCTTCAGACCCTCCTCTCTTCCACTGTAGTGATGCCTTAACACCCCCTCCTTTGCCCCCAAGCAATAATCTTCCTGTCCTCCCTGGCCCCGCTGGTCCTACCACTCAGCCGCCAGTGTCTTCAGCCACTATGCACCTGCCCCTGGTCCTGGGACCCCTGGGAGGGCCCCCCACAGTAGAAGGGCCTGGGGCACCCCCTTTCCTTGCTAGCAGCCTACTCTCTGCAGCGGCCAAGGCACAGCGTCCCCCGCTGCCCCCTGCCAGCACTTTACAGGGCCGAAGGCCCTGTGCCCAGGCGCCCTCAGCTTCCCACTCATCATCACCCCGTCCCACTCAGCGCCGTACCCGCAGACCCCCAACTGTATTGCGTTTGCTAGAAGGGGGAGGTCCTCAAGCCCCTAGACGGAGCCGTCCTCGGGCCCCTGCTCCTGCCCCCCAACCCTTTTCTCTCCCTGAGCCATCCCAACCAATTCTCCCTTCTGTGCTGTCCCTTCTGGGACTCCCCACCCCTGGCCCTTCCCACTCTGATGGAAGCTTTAACCTTTTGGGGTCAGACGCACACCTTCCTCCTCCCCCAACCCTCTCCTCAGGGAGCCCTCCCCAGCCCAGGCACCCCATCCTGCCCTCCCTGCCTGGGACCACCAGTGGCAGCCTCAGCAGTGTGCCAGGTATGTGAGTGTGAATGAGTATGCTAGAGCTCCTCCCCTGGGGTGAAAAGACACAGCCAAGGCATTTAGGGGAGAGTCTAAAGTTCTCTGGTGGTTTTCTGGGTTAGGGGCAGGGAGGTTGGGTTCTTTGGACACGGAGAAAGAGCCTCCCTTGAGCTGAATCTCTCTTTTCCTTTGCAGGTGCCCCTGCCCCACCAGCTGCCTCCAAAGCCCCTCTAGTCCCCAGCCCTGTACTTCAAAGCCCATCTGAAGGGCTCGGGATGGGGGTGGGCCCTGCCTGCCCTCTGCCTCCGCTGGCTGGTGGGGAGGCTTTCCCTTTCCCCAGCCCTGAGCAGGGCCTGGCACTGAGTGGAGCCGGCTTCCCTGGGATGCTAGGGGCCTTGCCTCTCCCTCTGAGTCTGGGGCAGCCTCCACCTTCTCCACTGCTCAGCCACAGTTTATTTGGCATGCTGGCTGGGGGAGGGGGACAACCTCCCCCTGAGCCTCTGCTACCGCCTCCAGGGGGACCTGGCCCTCCCCTAGCCCCAGGCGAGCCTGAAGGGCCTTCGCTTTTGGTGGCTTCCCTGCTTCCACCACCCCCTTCAGACCTCCTTCCGCCCCCTTCTGCACCTCCTAGCAACCTCCTTGCCTCTTTCCTGCCTCTGTTGGCCCTGGGCCCCACAGCTGGGGATGGGGAGGGATCTGCAGAGGGAGCTGGAGGTCCAAGTGGGGAGACGTTTTCAGGTTTGGGAGACCTGTCCCCGCTACTGTTTCCCCCACTTTCAGCCCCCCCTACCCTGATAGCTTTAAATTCTGCGCTGCTGGCTGCCAGCCTGGACCCTCCCTCGGGGACACCCCCCCAGGTGAGGATAGGGAGTGATTGGGTGGGACGGAACAAGAGGTGGAATCAGAGATGGGAATTGGGAATCAAAGGTGTTTGGTTTTATGGTGAGCTCTTCCTCAGAGCCTTTGGGAAGGGCTTTGTGCTTGGCTGGGGTAGGGCAGCTGCAAGAACTGGGTCTGTAATAAGTGTGGCCTACTTCATTCACATGAGGCTTCAGTGAGATTGTACAAGTATTATAAATGTATGGGATACTTTACACATGTGTTATAACCATTCTTTATCCTTAGCCCTGTGTCCTGAGTGCCCCCCAACCTGGACCACCTACCTCCAGTGTCACCACGGCAACTACTGACCTGGGAGCCTCCTCTCTGGGCAAGGCCCCCTCCAACTCAGGGAGACCCCCCCAACTCCTTAGCCCTCTGCTGAGTGCCAGCCTGCTGGGTAAGTCTGAGGGGAGACACTGGTATGAAAGAGGAGAAAGGAAGCAGTAAAACTTGAAAGTAGCAGCTGGATAAACTGGGGAAGAAAGTCTTTGACCTCTGGGTAAAAGCCTAAGAGAATAATAGAGTTTATTCCACTTAATTGATTTGCCTAAGCAGATCCCTGATTTTGTACTTCAACAGGTGACCTGTCTTCGCTGACCAGCAGCCCTGGAACCCTCCCCAGCCTGTTGCAGCCTCCTGGCTCTCTTCTCTCTGGCCAGCTGGGGTTGCAGCTCCTCCCTGGGGGGGGAGCTCCTCCGCCCCTCTCAGAGGCTTCTAGTCCCCTTGCCTGCCTGCTACAGAGTCTCCAGGTGAGGGTTTGGGTGTATGTTTTGTCATGAATTCTTCCTGAATTTGAAAGCTGGGCATTCTGAGTTACGAAACAGAGGGACTATATTCGAAACTGAGATTTTATTTTTTTGCCCGCAGATCCCTCCAGAGCAGCCAGAAGCCCCCTGTCTGCCCCCTGAGAGCCCCACCTCAGCCCTGGAACCAGAGTCTGCCCGGCCTCCCCTCAGTGCCTTAGCCCCACCCCATAGTTCTCCCGACCCCCCAGTCTCTGAGCTGCTCACTGGGAGAGGGTCGGGGAAAAGGGGCCGGAGGGGAGGAGGGGGACTTAGGGGCATTAATGGTGAGGCCAGGCCAAGCCGGGGTCGAAAGCCTGGCAGCCGGCGGGAGCCTGGCCGACTTGCCCTCAAGTGGGCACGTGGTGGCTTCAATGGACAAATGGAACGGTCTCCAAAAAGGACCCACCACTGGCAGCATAATGGGGAGCTGGCTGAAGGGGGTGCTGAGCCTAAGGATCCATCCCCTCCTGGGCCCCATTCTGAGGACCTTAAGGTGAGTGCAGAGTGATGGGAGGTCTGGTTGAAGGGCTGCAAGGATTGGTGCAGCCATCGTCATTTTCCTAACTTCCCCTACACACAGTCCATCTTTTATCAGGTTCCCCCAGGGGTAGTCAGAAAGTCTCGTCGTGGCCGGAGGAGAAAATACAAGTGAGTGCTGGGCCCACCACAACCCTGGCCTTTCCCCACTTCCTACTGGGTTTATAGAAATGGCTAAAGAGTGGCTTGGCTTTCAAAAGGACAAATACTTTTTTGAATATGAATATTATGCCTTTACTGTCCAAATGTAGAAAGTTTCCCAAACTCTGAAATTCACCTGGTGCTTGGGAGGTGTTCCTGATCATCTGTGCCCCTTATTGCAGCCCTACACAGAACAGCAACAGCTCCCGCCAGGATGTTACCTTGGACCCCAGCCCCACAACCCGAGTAAGTGCATGTCAGTGGGTGGGAGAGAGGGGATGTATAAGGGATAAGGCAAGAGGAAAAGAGGGTTGGAGAGGGAGGAAGATATAAAGACTTCTTGATACCTAACTGATCACTTTCAATTTCCCCCCTTGTATAGGTGGCTGTCCCTCTGACTCCCCGGGCCCGCCCTGGCCGTCCTGCCAAAAACAAGAGGAGGAAACTGGCCCCATAGCAGCCATACCTGGAGCTGGATCTGACCCTGATTGGGGAAAGCTGAGTGCTGAGCCTTGGGAGCCCCTGCCAGCCACCTGCACCTGTGGACAGTGGGTGGGGGCACTACTCCCCACTCAGAGCACAAATGCAAGCCCTTCCCCTACAATCCCATCCTGAGCCATTGCAGGGGGTAGGGAAGCTCAACCCGTCCCCCCCAAAGCCATGTCACTGAAAAGGCCTTGGGGGGGAATTGGTATATGGCCTGCTCCCCACTAGGCTAAGGGGAACATCCCCTTCCCCAGGTCTTTTATTTGTTTAAGTTATTTTTGCACAAATGACTTTTATATTTAATTCGACTTCATTGCCTCCCTTCTTAAAGCCAGCAGGCTCAGTTTACAAACCTGTGAGCTACTGTTGGCTGCTGCCCTCCTTCCCAGTGAAAGGTACAAAGCAATAAGCATCATGCATCCTCCCCTCACCCCTCCAACACCCCTCTGTCTCTGGCTCAGGTTGCTCAAAGCACAGATCCCCTCTTACCCCTGTCCCCAGGTTTGAAACACATAGCCTCATTTTAAGGTGTACCCAGCTTCCATCTGCTTTCCTCTGGGATAGAAAAAGGGGGTAAGGGGGCAAAGAGGGCCCTCTGGGACTCTCCTCCCATACACACTACACTGCCCCTTCTCCTTCCCATCAAAATGCTCAGAGACGTTGTGATGATGCGACTGAGGATTATGCAACATGGTCCAACCGGAGCGGCCAGCATGACCAGCTGTCCAGGGGCTGCCTCCTGCCTTTTCTTTTGTAAAGACAAGACCCTTGGGAGTTTTAATTCTGTTTTGTACTTGCCCTGTGGGGCCTCCACTGCTTTTCTATGGGAGACACTCTTAATTTAACAGATGAGAATATTTTGAAACTCTGGCTCTGACTCTGTACTCATTTTTTCCTTAGTTCTTTGGTATGAACAAGTTATTTAAATCCTCCTCTTCTAGCAGAGAGTAGCTTAGACTGCCTGTTATACTATGAATGTCTCTCAGTGCTGCCTCTTCCCCAGGAAATACAGCAGAGGCCACACAGAGCACAACAGTATTTAATGGTCAGAAACAGTTGTACAGTGTTATTCCCAGCCACAGAAGCTGTGCTGGAGAATAGGACCCAGTCCTTCCCACATCAGACAAAGCAGTACTGGACATAAGCTGGCATGTGGGCCCACGTCCTTATCCCCAGAGCCTGAGGGGAGACCACCATCTATTGTAATACCCCCCAGCTACCACTCTAGTCATCAGAGGGGTTTAAACCTCACATGCAAGAAGAACCCCTTGTCCCCAATGTCAAATGAGATGGGGATGCAAGAGTTATAATAAGGGGAAGCACTACGTAAGATGTTAGCAGTTCAAAGGGGTAGGTATTACCCCTGTTCTCCATCTCCCAAAGGGGCTCACTTTCCCAGTTTCTTCATCCGTTCATCAATGTTGGCAAAATTCCCCTCAATTGTGGACAGGTTTTCACGCATCGTTACCTGTACCTAGAAAGTGATAGAGATGTTTTATTCTGTCAGGTCCAGGTGCTTGCTTGGATGAGAGAGCCTAAAGAAATTCTCTTAGGACGAAATGAAATGGAAACACAATTTACGGGCCCCAGTTCAGGGAGGCTATACGAGCAGTTTTCAAACTACCCTGGGAGTCCCATGGACCTAGCTCAGGGTCTGCCAAACAGTCAGGACTCTTGAAAGGGCCAAGAAAGACTTGAAATCGGGGTTCGTTGGGTCAAAATTAGAGAACTTCTAGAGGAAGAATGTTATACCAAGTATACTTTTTCATTTATTTTTATGGTTCTGTAAAGTCTCTCAACTTTAATGCTCCCCCCAGCACTGCAAACTGTCTCAACAGAAACCAAGGACTCACTACGTGTTGGACACTGCTAAAAGGATGAAGGAAGAAGGTGAGGCTCACTGCTCAGAGTCAAATACGAAGTGGCACAAGCAGCTTGGAGCCTCGTTTCTGACTTGAAAGCCCATATTCTTTCCAATGTACTATGCTCAGGAGTACCTGGGGAGGGTAAAGCTAAGCTGAGATTACAGAGGGAAAGGGTAGATGTGAGAAGAAAAACTGATGTTTATTAAACTAACAATTGACCCATGTTATTTAACCTAAGTCCATGTAACTCTGAGGTAGGTTTAATTCCCAGAGAGCAAGACACAAGTTCATAGGTGAAGTTATCCAAGCTTCTACAACTACTGAAAAACAATATGAAGACTCACACTAAGCCCCTGCCACAAACTATACTACCAAAGGGGCTAAGGCAGAACCCTCTGAGATAAAGCAGGAAAGCCTGGTCTGTGTGCGTGCTGAAGGGAGACAGCAAACCAATACAGGGGCAGGTACCTGAGTCAAGAGGGTGGTGTTGTCCTTGAGAGAATTAGCAATCATCTGCTGTGTGGTGTCCAAGTGTGTCAGGAGCTGACCGAAATGCATGGCTATAAAGGAAGAGAGGTACAAGGGAAGTTAGAATGCAAGATGAGGAAAGAAAATAGAAGTTGCCCCCTTTCCATTTACTCTTAAGGACACCTGGCAGCTGGCCTCTCACCTTGCTCATGCAGCTGCTTGATGGTGACAAGTCTCTGCACCAGCTCAGGAAGGGTGGAAGCGATGGGGCTCCAGCGCTGTATGGTTTCATATAACTGGTGCACCTGAAGGGATATGACAAGGCCCAGAGGGAATGGCCCAGCTGTCAGTGAAGTACACGACTGACTACCTCACTAGGGTTGGATTAACTAGACAGGGACAGAGCAAAGCACTGCCCTTTCTCAGCTGGTACGGGTGTATGAAGACAGGGACCTGACTGCCCTGACTGGTGGGCTCAGTTGGTCAGGTGGTGGTGTGAAAGATTGCCAGTTCAATTCCTGGTCAGGGCAGGTGTCTTGGTTGCAGGTTCAGTCCCCAGTCGGAGGCATACAAGAAGCAACCTATCAATGCCTCTTATATCAATATTTCTCTCCCCCTCTCTCTAAAAAATAAAAAATGAAAAAAATAGACAGGGACCTGAGGATTCAGTGCTCTCATCCAATACTACCCAGATGACTTGGAGAACATAAAGGAGCAGGAAAGGGTATGAAGATGGGGAAAGGAGTCTTGCTGACCTTGCTTTGTGTATCTGCATCCTCTACAGAGGCTTTATGTTTGGCGATCTCATTCACCTTTCCTAGGACACTCTGCAAACAGATTTTAAGGTTGATAGTAAGTGCATCGAGGGCTTCCAAAGCCCCAAGCTACCTTTAATCCACTTTGTCTTCCACTTAATACCTGTAGCCGAGCCTCCACTTGGTCCAAAACTGCAGGCTCCAGGGTGCTCACCTTTGCCTGCAACAGCTCTACAGTTTCCTGGAGGAGGGGGTTGGGACAAGCTTCATGAAGGGGAAAGAATAAGACTAGGAAGAGGCCACCCCCTATTCCACTGGAGGTAATTAAATATACAGCTACAGACCTCAAAGTAATTCTCCAAGCAACCCAACCCTAATATCCCCTTGTAACCCCAACACTCCAGTTCTTTTCGTACTCACTGTAAGGCAGGCTCCTTGTAGACCTGCAGAAAGGGGATTCTGGTGGGGGAAAAGGAGGGAAAAAAAAATATCAGTGGTTCTACTACCGCCATATGATTACCACCTTTTCCCATCATTTCCGTTCTAGCTGAAAGCCCGCTGACTCTTCCCAGGGTTTCGTGGAATGCTGTGGACCTCAGGCTGAGGGTGCAGGATGTGAGGGTCAGACTATGTATAGGAGTGCACCTGACCTGAGCATCCTGATCACAGCGTACAGCTGCTTCCAGCTCGGTCAGGCGCTTCTCCAGTTCTGCAATCTAGGGGGAGAAAGAGGTGAGATTTGGGTGAGATTTGCCATCACGCTCCCTGCTGCTGCAGTGGGAGGTAAGATCCTGCTATTCTCTATTCTCTGCTTGTCTGATTGCAACTCCCCTCCCCTCTCCCTTCTACCAAGGGACGCCTTTCCAAGGAACATATCCCTAGTCACAATCGTAAAATCTTAACTGAAAGTAGACTGGTGAGGGAAACATGAAGAATGAGACATCAAGAGGAATCAGAAGCACCCCCTCCCCAGGACTGATCCCTTGGAGGAAGGCAGGAAGGTCTCCGGAGCCACATCTCCCCAACTGCCCTGGCCCCTCCCCCTTCCCCCAATACTACATACACTTTACCTTGGCAGCTTGAGAGAACTTGTCCTGCTCAGGCCGAGAATGTAGTTCGTAAGTGACAAGGCTGCTCTCTGTGGGGGTTCCACTTGTGGTCTTTCCCCCTGAGGCAGCCCCTTTGCTGTTCTTTGTTGCTTCCAGCTGCAGCAGTAGGCGCCTAGGTCAGGAGACCACGTAATAACATCATGACTTTCAGGATGCAGGCCAGCCCAGTCACTCTCATTTCTACCTCTTTGTAGTCAGCAGCATTAAGTAAGAGCTAGGCCACCTCTTCCTTTAATAGCCCATTCAATACTTGGCTGAGTCCCTCTATACCCCAGTTAATAATGATTTCCCAACCAAGTAGGGCACCCACTTAGCCAGAGCTCCATCGGGGTCAGTAAGGTTGATCGCTGCATCTGGTCCCAGCAGCTTCTCCAGGTGGGAAGCAACCAGCTGCTGCTTCAGGGCTGCCAGCTGTTTAGCCAGCACCACGGGGGTCAGCTTCTCCTCAGTGGCTGACTCCTTCACTGTTGTCTGGTATGAAAAGTAGACAGTGAAGGGTGGCAATGGTGAACTAAGAAAAAAAAAATGGATCAAGATCCAGCTGTGGCTGGAAGTACCTATAGCACTGAATATAGATTTGTGTATTTTCATACACTGGAAATGTCAGCCCCCAGCTTAGGGGGGAATCTTTCTCCTCCTGCTAGGAGGTCCTCTTCTGCTATACAAGTTACAGCAGAGATGGGAGAAGAGAGTTTATAGTTACCTTGATTTTTTCAACTTCAGTTGTCAGTTCTTGGACCTCATACAGTAGTCGCTGGTACTTTTGCTGGGGTGTCTCCTTCACCCCCAGACCCTCTCCAAGCTAGAGAGCAAGTACAGAAGCTGATGTTATACTTCCCAGTACCTCAAGAATTTACTCAAACCCTGGGCTTGAATTGTAAAGGTATTATATCCAACTCAAAATCTACAACGCCCTAATGAATTGAGATAGCTAGAGGCTTAGAGACTCTCTAGAGCAAACAGGAAGGATAAAACATCCTCAACAGCATCCTGCTGGGCTCCTCAGGACCCCCAACCAGAGAGACTATATCCCTTGATCTGCAGTTAAAGAGGATCACTGCACCATTCTCATCAACACACACAACAAACCATCTCATATTCTCCGGATTCATATCCTGTCCTCTTGGTTTTTCCAATACGATCAGAGAAATCTGTCAACAAAAGAGGATGAAATTGAGGGACTAATCTAGGCCCAAGGTAGTCATGGGCTTAGGTGACAATGAGGGCTCCCAGAAGAGATCTCTATGAGGGACCCTTCCCAAAGAAAAAGTCACTAAGGCCTAAGGACAGGCCTCCCCCCACCCAATTCACAGCCCAGTCTCACCAAGTCCCTTTGTCCCCACTCTCTTGTCTTTGAACTTGTCATAGGCAGCATTGGGGTTGACAATGATGTGCTCCACACTTGTGCTTGTGAGTTCCTCCTGCAGGAATAGGTAGTTCAGGCCTGGGGCAGACTCGGTCACACCCAAAGCTTCCCCACAAAATCCCCCAAATATTACAAGACTGGTTCCTACTTTCCAAGAGGAAAGAAGGGCAGCTCCATTCCAAGCTGCTGACCCAGGTTTGACCTAGGAAACGAGAGCTTCCTGATAAATTTGGAGTCTCAGTTGTATAAATATTAACGCCCTGATTCAACCAGGAACAGAAATTACACAGCCTCCCTGTTCCCCCACCCTACCCACCTGGGCCCTCCCGGTTATCTGGCACATGCCCTGCACTCAGGGCAAGAAATCAACCTGACCTCTTCTAACCTCCCCCTCCCAAAAGTCAATTTCCTTGCAGCTGAGGAAGTCCGTTTTTAAGCTAACCTCCATTCTTGCTTGAGGAAAAGAGGAATGGCAGGCTCAAGCTACTAACTCTAAGGATGAATATTAAGACTTTAATATGCTGAAGGGAAGACACCAGCACTTAGATACCAAAAAAAAAAAGTTGGATTGCAGAGGGCTTGACCAGAAGCTGTTTCCAGGCTGCCATGAAACCAGGGAATTCATGGGATAGAGAGAAGAGGAAAGGGATCACTGTATTATTTTTTAAAGGACATCTTAGAAGCAGTATCTGATGGCCAAGAATACCTGTAGGCAAGAGCTGTATATAAGTCCTGAAATGGAGCCCAACATCTTCTCAAAGAGAAGCTCCAACACCTGCCCCTTTTCCTTGAACTCTGCTGTCTCTTAAGACTGAAGCTATCCCATAAGCAGGGGTCATGGTAAAGGAAGTGAATGAGATTTTACTCTAGAAACTGAGGCAGAGAGGTACCACTGACTGTTCAGATTCCAGTAACTACACCAAGACTGGGCACTGCAGACCTCATGCCTGCCCTTCGGTTGTCAGCAGTCTGACAGCTCTCACTACATCACTGAAGCAGGAGGGTGGCAGGGGCAGGGAGAGAGGAGACCTAGGAGTCCTTTTCTTTCTTTGGAGGATGACATCTTTACTTTCTACAGAAGGAAGGCAAAATTTAGTCTTCTTTCCTTTAACTGGAATAATGGTTCTCAACCATGGCTGCACAATAGAATCACTTAGAAAATGTTAAAACAACAACAAAAAAGAGGCCTGGGCTTACCTCTGTAGATTCTGATTTATTGTTCTAGGATGGTAGGCTAGTTTAAAAGCTACTCGGGTGACTCTAATGTTTTTAACATGCAGCCAGGACTAAGATTCTCTGCCTGTGAGGGGCGACTGAGGGGGAATGATGATGACAGAGAGACACGATGGAGAAAGAGCAGCAGACAAAAGCTCCGTCCTTCATCTCTGGTCTGCTATTAAAGAAGGAATCCGTGAGTGGCAACTTTAAAAATAAGGGAGGAGACGGGGTAAAGAGATCTTTACCTCTTCCTGAAAGTACTGCGCAGAGGGACAAGAGCTAAAGATTAAGGGAAAACAAAAGGGTTCAATGTACCATATACAAGGGCCTAGGGGAAAAGACAACTGAGTCCCAAACAGTACCTCTTTAACCTTTTCTGAAGTGTTATTGCCCGTAAACCCACCAGTCAAGCAACTGTGTGGTCTCTAGCCTCTGTAAGTAAAGTGTCTGAGGACTCACACTCAGGAAAGACAGCCATCTTCTCTGAAGTTCACACTCAAGAATATGCCACTCTTCCTTGTAAGTGACCCAAAGCCAGTGAAGCAGAAATCCATTAAAACACACACACACACACACACACACACACACACAAACCCCTCAAGAAGAGGAATAGGAGACATAGTCTACAGACCAAGGAAAGAAATTAATTGTAACCACCATTTGTTAAGCCCTTATTATGGGGTAGGCACAGTGCAGGTAAGAACCTTCTTTCTTATTTACTTTCCTAAAAATGGGGATGGGGTAGACCAAAAAAGGTGATCACATAAAACATGACTTTCAGACGTTCTGGACAATGCTTTTATGTCCTGCATCAGGAGGGCTGCCTGACACTGGCATCCTCGAGGGGCCTCTCTGAGGGTACAGCCCGGGAGACGCAGCGAGGCAGCTCACTCCGGTGCTCCAGGGCACCTACTCCACTAGTCCACCAGTGTCTCAGAGATCTGGGGGCGTGGGCGGGGGGCAGTGTCATCACAGGGACTTGTGAGATGAAAAAACATCAGCTGAAGAGATTAAAGATTTAGTAGAGACAAAGTAACAGAAAAACAACTGTCCATCACAGCACACCCCATTAAAAAGCAGATGAAAGGTCAGGCTTCTTACCAGCTCCTTGTGGTTTCCCCAGAGGTGAGAAAATCAAAAGAGTTAAAAGGAAAGGGGGTGGGGAAATGGGGGTGAGGGAGGGAAAAAAAAAAGACAAAATTGTTATTAGCAAATTGTCACATGCACTACATGACAGTCTTCAAACACACTGCACCACAGGGCCCGGGGAGCCTAACAAAACTTAGGGGCCAAGAGATTTCAGTTGGGGTTGGCACACACCCCAAGAGAAAGAAGAGTTTGGGTCCTTTCCTTCTCTGGTGGTGAAGAAAGGTGGTTAATGAAGCTCTGCCATTATTGTTGCTTGAAGCTCAAGCAACAATTCAGGATCATTTGAGAAATAATAGTTGTATGTTGCAAACCAGAGGCACGGAATAGGAGAGTCGGGGCAGAGAAGGCTAGGGAGTGGGGGAGCTGCAGAAATGGCAAAACGTGAAGCAGAGGCTATGGAGATTCTGAGGACACAAAGCTCACTGAGGGTCCATAATTCTCAAGGGAGGAGTTCATGGCTTAGTTCTTCCTGTCTCTTGGCTTCTCTGGTTTTGCAGAATTAGACATTTGGGTGGCAGAATCAGTCACAATAAGGGTGCTCATGTGGGTGGTCTGGTACGATTTTACATTCAGTAGAAAAAAATGTCAGGTATAGATGGTGAGTTTAGAGAAAAATTGGGTTGGCCAAAAAGTCCATTTAGTTTTTTCCATAAAATAAAAGACATCTTTTTCATTTTCACCAGTAACTTTATTTATTTGGATATTTTGAATTAAGTCAGCTATCTCCCACTATTGGCTTCTAAGTGCATAGAGGCCAGGGGTACTGCTAAAACATCTTCCAAGGCATAAGGCAGCCCCACAGCAAATTACTTGGCCAAAATGCCAACAGTACCACAAAACTTTGCAAGCCACTTCTGACATGTTCAATCAGTCAAGGAACCTTCTCTACATACCACACAAATCTTTTTTTGTGTTTCAGTTGCATTTTTACCTTTCTTAAAAATAACTAAGCATAATACACCAAAAATGTTGCATATTTTCTTCCATTTTCAATATTAAAATGGCTATACAAAAATTCACCAATTTTTATTAGTTTTTAAAAAATGCATGCTGATATGACAGCTGTCACAATACAATCTAACAAAACTGTTTCGAGTGAAGTTAAAGGCAACAAAACACTACTAGAGCCATCTGATGAAAAAAACAAAATGAACTTTTTGGCCAACTCTATATGAAGCACCTAATGCAGCCCCATTCTCATTCTCTGATGTCAGAGGAGAGGCAGGGCAAATCCTGGTCCCTCCTGTGGTCTGTCTTTGAATCCATCTTGAGTGATGGGTAACTCACCCTGCAGCCCTGAGAGATCCAGAGCAATTCTGCCATGATGTGCTAGCACAGAGAGTGCAGAGGACACCAAGAGTCACAGCAACCAGCCCATGTGCAGAACATGTTTCTTCAACCCTCTATTTACAAGATTTAAGTGGAGGGTAGACGAGGGGAAAAGGTGGGAGTATTTCAAAGAGGCCTTCTTTTAGTCCAGGCCACACAGACAAAAATCCCATTCCCAGGCAAGACCAGTAAAGAACTGCCAGTTAGGGAACCCCAGCCTCTCCAGGAGCTCTACTTACAGACTGACAGAAGTGTGGAGGGTCAAATGCTCCCTGCTCCAGAGATTTCAGCTAACTATACCTGATCCTCAACATCCCCACTCCCTCTGTGGTGCCAGGGTCCACCTTAGCCAAGACTCCTCTCTGAGCTCAGGGTAGAGGTGGACCTGGGTCCTGTGGTCTAGGCTGGGATGTCTCTGCAGAGTGTGTGTAAGCACCCACAGGTGCACATGTGCAAACACACGAGGAGGCACACACACTACACATTTCTCTTACTTGCCCCAACAAGCTAAAACCAGCTTGAAAGAAACTCAAATAGAGAGGAAGGACAATGGGCCATAAGTTCAAGTTCAAATCATGAAGAACAATCAGAACGGGGGAGGACAGAAAATCAAAGAAAAGTGGCACATTAGTTTGTAAATAGTATGTACCACCTCCAGATCTATCCTATGGGTGGGTTGCAGGAATGATGAGTGATGAGATTTCAGGCATAATTCCTATAATCTGGAATAGTAACAGTTACCATGGAAACCTACTACACCCAGCCACCTTGAGTGGAAAATCCTAAATGCCCTGATCCCAGGTACTAGCTTATCTGGTACAGGATTCCCAGTCCCTCTCACTAATGGACTCTCTGCCTCCCCAGGCCTGTTTTGTTAAATGGCTGTGCCTCGGAGGCAAAACCTGAGGTTCTAGATCAGACAGAGGAAGAGGCCACTGCTGCTCTCTGAGCCTGTTCAAGCTCTATGCCAACACTGCAGCCAGAGGGACTTTGGGACCATGACAACAAGGAAGATAGACAGTACTGCAGAATAAAACTGTCCAGGATGGACCAACACAGTGCTGACCAACCATCCATTTCTAAAGGAGGGGTACAGAAACACAAAGACTCATGGAAGCACAAATAACCCAAGTTATTACCTTAAAATTAGCATTTAACACCCCTTGTCAATCCTATTTACTTTTCTCTAAAGGTTTATCATAGGAGAATATTAAAATGAGTTTTTTCCAGGCATAATCCACATACAGCTAAGAAGTAAGGACCGTGGCTATTCCCCTTGTTCTCCACCCCTGTCTGGAATTGCTAGTAGTCATTCCTTTTTTCTTAAGTCCATTTCAGTCTAAGAACGGCAACCCCCTTCTAACTCTAGCCCCTAAATGCCTTATTTCCCAAAGCATCCCTAGCCTCCATGTTTCTATCCCATCCTCCATTAGACAGTTTTATTCTACAGACCTCACAAGAGGAAGAGACAATGATTCGTGGATCATCACTGTGCTTCTAAACCTTGATTTTTGATCTTTAATCATAAGGCCAATAGGTCCCTTAGTGATCCAGCTAGGGACTCATTAGAATTTAAATTAGCTATAACAATAGCACAGTGACAGAGCATTGCATGCAAGATGGCAGATGAAAAAAACATGCAGAGAAGAAGCATTGAATGGTCTTACTTGTGCAAACTAGTGTCCAGGCAAGGTGGTGAGGAGGGAGGATGGGGGAAGCATCAGGAAAAACTCAGGTAAGTTCAAGTGCGCCAACAATCAATGAACACAATCAAGCATACTCTATCATATCCCAAACTGTAAGAAAGAGAACTTACTATCTGTCTGTCATTTCAAGTTGGTGGAGTGTCCAGCAATACCTACCCTTTGAAGAACTGAGGCCTCTGCCATGGCCCCACTGAACTATGGCAGATCATTTGTTTTTCCCCCTTTCACATCGTATTCAGAATAGTTAGGGCATAAAGGGAGACGCTAAGTCCTACTTCTATCGAGGTTTTCTAAATTTACTCCCCTTGCTCTAGCAGTTCAAAAACCATGAGCAGACTGCCTCACAGAGCCAAGGTAGACTGTGGGCCCAGGGGGATGAAATTCCAATTGGGAATTAGCTTTCTGGATAAGACATTTTAAGAAAAGTCTCCAAACAAGCCCATCACCCCCAAAAACTTAGGAGTGTCTGAAATGCAGAGAGGAGATCCTCCTACACTAAGAAAGGGCTAGTCTGTACAGTTTTCTGGCCCATTCATTTTAAAATATTTTGCTCCCTGCTAAAATCATTTTAAAGGGATAGTAGGAAACTCAGGATCACCTTTACCAAAATTAAAACCTTTTACTACTTTCCTCCCCCATCCTCCCCACTATGGGAATCACAAAACTTTTATGTTTAAGTTTAAACTAGCAGTTACGATCTTTAAGGGACATTAAAGGATATAATTTCCTCTGGCAACCCCCTTTCTTCTAGGTGGAGCAAAGAGAGGAGGGAGGTTAAAAGGGATGGTCAACACTTTCTGACTGTTCCTTAAAATAAAAATCTGGAGACGCCCCCACCCCCACATTCCTTAAGAAACTGGTCATACTGGTTGTCTCCAGGGAAGGGAGCTGACTGGTGGCCAATGGTGGAAGAGAAGCTTTTGTTCTATGTGCATATATTACTTATTTTAAAAACCAATAAAATTAAAGTTGCAAATAATCTGGAGACTAAGGCTGAGCATGCTCTTTGCCAGGGGTTAAGAAGATGACTGAAAACCTCATGGTTCAGTCACAATAGTGGTGATGAGAGCTGTCACCTGTGCTAGGTCTTAAGAGGGAAAGTGAGAAGGGGACAGGCTGCTGGTGAAAACCCAGAACTCATGGACATGAGGCTTCTGGATTGTCTAAGTACCACTCATTGCTGCTCAAGTTGCATATTTATGTCAATATTAAGAGCAGTGGCAGAACCATTACTCTGCTGACTTCCCGAAAGCTGCCCTCCTAAAGCCCACAGGGACATGCAGGGGGCAGACATTAGCTGAAATCAGGAAACATCTCAGTACCCACCCCCCACCAAGGCTCCTGTAGGAGCTGAAGGTCTCCCCACTCCACTCACTCCTCCCTAGTGAGAGTCATTTAGCTGAGTCTTAAGTGATGGATTATTCACCATGCAGATCCTATACACTTCTATACAGACATCTTAGGCAATAGGCCAGAGGAAAGGAACACATAGTACCCTCTCCCCACCAGATGCTACACTGCTCAGGCTCAGCAGGGAAAAACAGCCAGTCATTTGGGTTCTTCCAGCCCCCTGGGTGTGGTTGTCATCTTCTTTTTATTAAGAGATATCCCAATTCCTTCAAAAGGAAAATTACAATGTATTTTTTGGTTTGAAAAGGAGACTGCTATGGTACTACCTGTTTGTATCATAGTCAGTGACAAAGGGACAAAGTTCCATTCATTTTCTCACCATGAAGGCGGGATGTTTTACAGAAGAAGCCTAGGCCAGAGTTGAGCAGTCACTGAACTGTGGCCTTAGAGTGAAATCCTCAGCATATGCATTCCTGCCCTGGGAGGTCAGACACAGCTTCCTAATAGAACATGCCTTGGAGTGACAGGTGCACACCTAGCTGCTTGAACAATGACAATATCTGCATTACCTCCAGATACTCAGGCTTGGGGGACAGAATGACATGCCAGCAAGTACAAAAGCCACAAGGAACATACCACTGAGAGAGGGGACAGGGTGGGTGTCATGACAAAGTAGAAACCACTTCCACATGGGGGAAATCAAATAAGGAATAAGTGAGTACGCCAAGCCATACATTATAAGCCAGCAACCAGCATTCTCCAGAACCAACCAGCCCCACAGCCATAGCCACAGGACTTACAGACACACACACTGAGCCTGTTCCCACTGACTCTTGGTCACAAGTTTATTGAGCTCTCACACCATCCATGGGACCCTAGCCCAGCTCTAAAACACATCCTGTATGATGGGGTAGCAGATCTTTGACCCCCTTCTGCACTTACATACAGAACTTTTACTATGTTGACTTCCATTCACTCAATTTTGTTTTTTCTTCTGTGTTTCCTGTATGTATCGTAACTCCACCTAACCCTTGAGCAGGGACATTTCTTCCTATGCACTGCATACACACACACACACACACACACAAATTCAATACAATAAACACATTTGATAAACAATGCCAAGTGGTTCCACTCATTAAAATGTATCCAAAGTTAATGCCTTCCTCCTCAGAGTTCTCCCTGGATTTGAAAGTGATACCAGGGCCTCTTCTCTGCTGATATCTAAGATTTATGTTCGTCCTCAATTTATTTTGCTCTGACCAGGTCCCTTATCTTTCTAAACTCTCCAAATCATTCTCTTATTCTTTGCCCAACAGGTACTGGATCGTTATATAAGAGTATTTATCTATATTTCAAAGTCCAGCTCTTGGTAGGATACTAATGAACATGTGTTGAGTGAAATATTTTATCAAAATTAGAACACCTAGGCTTAACCTCAAGCAGTTCATAAAAGCTTAGAATTCATGATTCATTACCATGGAACAGCACCCAGGGTCCTGTCACTAGCCCCAAACCTAACTGTTTTGAGCTATTTCAATTTTATTTCAAAGGCCAAGGATCAGGTTTTGTTAGTTGGAATTCTTCTGACTGACTCTCTTTACTAGTATTGATTATTGGTAGCTGCAAGCCCACCAAGGCCTTGCAACCTACACACCACCCAGGCTGGGTTGGCATACCCGCTTATTGCTGTAGCTCCCCAGAAAAGAGAAAGGGCCTGCCTAGGGGAGAGAGGTCGGAGACCAGAGGAGTCCTGAGGCAGCACACAGTCTTACCGCATCGAACTCCGCTTGGTCATCCTCAGGTAGGTCGCTGGTTTCATAAACATCTGGCTCGTTTCTGGCCTGCAGGTAGAAGTAGTGACCACCCAACCTTATTACCCAGCTTCCACCAACATCCCTGACCCTATTCCCTTTGAATAGTTAACAAAGAAGGCAGGCTGTGATATCAGGGTCCTGTCCCTTCTCTTCCACCTGCCCAGTTAACTGTATGTCAGTTCCCACACCTTAGAGAGATAGGAATGACAATGGGGACAACTAGGACTTGATAGTAACTGATGAGTGTGAATGACGACAAGGATGCTGCTCTGAATATCAAGGGGGAAGGGTCCTTGGCAATCTTTATGTCAGAAGTAGGGAAAGGGCTATCCTCAGTTAGGTCCTGTACACCACTATCCTGGCACAGGGATAAGAGTGACTCAGGACCTCAGTGCCCAGAATGCAGGCAAGGCAGTACAAAAGGGTACCTGCCGGCCTGTGCAAGGTGATTTAAGTGGTTGGGGTAGGGCACTTCCCAGGAGAACAGAGTTCTCTATCCAGCACAAGGGTTCTGCCAAGGTAACCCTTCCTTCGCAGAATGAAGGCCATTATTAAGTGGCCTGGTATGTGTGTTGGGGTGGGGGTTGGGGCTTTTGGGAAGATTTGGGGAGACATGGGTAGTGTTGACATGGATGGCAGAAACACTCGGGCATAAGTGGTAAGAGCCCGGAGACGATTTCTGGGCCGAGAAACCGGCGACTACCGGAAGAGGGGCCTGGTAAGCCGTCCCACGGCCGGGCCCGGTTGGATCGGACGAGTCCAGAAGATGATGCGGCCCGCACGGGAGCCAGCGGTGGGAGCCCCGGGGGCGGAGGAGGGGCTGCAGGCGGGAGGGGTCACAGGTTGATGCCTGTTGGGGGTCCTCAGGAGGTGAGGGGCGCGGTCCTGGGGAGCCGAGGCCGGCCCTGTACTCACAATGCCGGGAAGGTCGGCGTATTTGGGGTCCGCCATGGCGGCGGCGAGACGGGGTTGGGGGACCGGTGCTCAGGTAGGGGAGAGGCTGGGTCCGGGTCCCGGGTTAAGGCGGCGGCCGGGGGAGCGGCGAAGGAGGCGGAGGAGCAGGAAGTCTCGCGACAGCAGTAGCACAGGAGCTGGATAAAGCAACAGTCGCGAGAATAGCGCCCCACCACACCCCTGTAGAGGCGCGGGTTGGCGAGAACTAGGCCAGGGAATTAGGTAATGGCGGGTGGGAAGACGCTGACTAGGATTGTGGGATATGTAGTCTTCGCCGGTCGGGGCTTGGGCCTGGGACGACACTAACGTGCCTGGGGAGATATTTCATCCAACCTACTTTCTTTAGTTTTTACATCAAGCCTGTGAAAGAGCTTTTATAATTCCCATTTTTAAGATAAATAAATTAGGATTCCCAGAAGTTAAATGGTTAGATATAAATAACACAACTAGACATGCTGTGGCACAGCAAGCACTCCCAAATAACAAGTAAACTTTAATAAAGGCTTACTGTTGTTAGGAATGACCAAGTTAAGAAATCTCAGTTTAGGGCTGTCATAAATACAGGATGCCTAGTTAAATTTGAATTTCAAATAAGTAACTAATAGGGTTTTTTTGTATAAGTACATCCATATCATATTTGGGACATAATATCACCAAAAAAAATTCCTTTTTTTTAATGTGAAATTCAAATTTAACTGGTTATCTTGTTTTTGTCTTCAAATCTGGCAATCCTATCTCAACTTCATAAACAGGTAAGTGATGGCTCTATGTGTGAACACCCTCTTTGCTCTTAGACACGTCACTGTTTTCAGACTTTTGACAGTTCAATAAAATAAAAACAACAACAAAGCTTTGCGAGAATAGGCATAGTATTGCTACCTTTTCATTTTGCAAAGTATATTAAAAGAAAGAAAGTTACTATTTCCTATTGCCACAATTTAAGAACATATTCTCAGAATAGAAGACAGTCCTTTGACATGTAATAAATCCTGCGTTATGTGTTTGTTTTGCTGGGGCTGCTTACCCATACATTTTGGTCTCCAACCAGTGACCCTCCATGGACTAGTATTTTGAAACTTCTCCACAAACGGATGCCACCCTGGAGCCCCTGAGGGCCTGAGGTGGGAATGTTTCCCAGGTTGTCCCCTATGCTTGCAGGATGCTGCAGAACTTAGAAATGGTGACAGACCAAGTGACTGGAGAAATGCGAATTTTCCTGAATTTGAAACTCATTGTCATTCTATGCATACATAGAATCTATGGCTCCTCCCCAAGCCTCTATCCCTCTTCTCCATAGTCCTATATTGCTTTACCATCCAGTTTCTTACGCTGAACCCTTTTCCTGCGGTTTCCTTAAGATTCAAGGGGGTTAGAGGTATAAGTTCAATTTGGGAAACCACCTTCCCAGTTGGGTTCTGAGTGGTTAGGTTTTGTCTGGCTAGGCCATCATTCTCTGCCCTCCCTTTTTTAAGGTGTTTTTTTTTTTTTATTATTGATATTCCAAAACTGTTGTGTCCATTTTCTCACCACCACTTTCCCCTGCCCCCCCCCTCACTTTCCACCTTCCATCCTTACCCCTTTTGGCTTTGTCCATTCTCCCCTTCTATCATAGTGTCTAACTGACCTTAGACAATTGCTAGGCAAAACCTCCATCCCCTCCTCCCTTCTTCCTTACCCTGCCCCTCCCCTTGGCTTAGGGCCTCAAGTCCTTGCAGTCTAAGTCTGTTGGCCAGCAGAGGCCTGTGATGTGGAGAAAAATCAATCTGGCCAGCTTCTAGATGGTTCTTCTCAGAGGATGCAGCAGAAGTCTGACCTAAGGACACAAGGACAAGAAATCTCCAGGCTTTTTTTTTTTTTTTTTTTTTTTTTTTTTTTTTGCCAGGGAAGGGGGAGAAACAGAAGTAAGGCCTGAGAAGGGGGCTGCCATGTTAGGACTCTATCCAATAATAACTGGGACAGGAAACACACTCACATAAGTACCTAAACCTGCCTAAATCTCAAATGCAGACGTCTGCCCTAGAAGTTCACTGTTAAAGTCCTTCTGGCCTTACCTACCCCGTCATCGCTCCTCCTTCACTGCTTTCTGACTCCCTTTCTCTTGAAAAAGTTACTGCAGCCCACTTTCATCCCAGCTCAACCTGTGAGGCAAAAATGAAAATCTTATCTGCTTTTGAATTCTGATGGCCCAGAATGGGAGTTCGTCTTCCTTCAAACGAAGGCCCTGGCACACACACACACACGTATGTATGTATATATATGTATGTATGTATATAGTGTTAGGGACATAGTAAACTGCGCCTCTGGATGTAGAGAAGGAGGAAATAGCCAAACCTTTGCTGATACTCCTCTCTGAAAAAATGGGACCTGGACAGCCACCTCTATAGGGGCATAGGCAAGCTACCCTTAAAGGGTGAGTGGGTTGGGAATCTATGAGAGGGGAGTGTGGAGAGGGAATGAGAAGTATGCTTCCATTTTGGAGAGAGGATTGTGATAGCGGCGGATTCCCTGGAGTATAAAGTGGGTGGAAGTGCTGGTGATTTTCTTCCCCAGACTACAGGCCCATCGCGGACCCCTTTTTCCTCCCAGAGGGGTGGAGTCTTTAAGGAGGGACCGACAAGTCTGGGATGCGGGTGATCGGGGGTGGGATGCACTGAGTGCCTTGGATAGGGAAGGGGTGAAGGCAAGGTTATCTTCCAGAGTTAGATGTGGGGAGAAGAGGCAAGGAGGGAGGGAAGGTGCTTCCATTCAATGGTGGATGGCGAGTGGCTGGCCCCAGGCGAGGGAAGCCCCGCCCCGCTCCTCGGTCGCCGCCCCGCCCAGGCCCGCAGCGCAAGGGGCGGAGAGGTAGAGCGCCGGGAGAGCACCCGACTCCTAGGTCTCCCGCATCCCGCTGCCGCAGGAGAGAAGAAGCTTGCCCCGGCCCTGCTCTCCAGCCTTCATCCGGTCGCCCACAGAGACCGAGCACTTGGCCTCCGTCTTGGCCTCCGCTGAGCTCCCGCCTTCGTTGCACGCACCACTTCTGCTGTCCAAGAAGTGCCCCAGCCCTACGCCGGCGACCACAATGACGGAGACCAACAACGAATGCAGCATCAAGGTGCTCTGCCGATTTCGGCCCCTGAACCAGGCCGAGGTTCTGCGGGGAGACAAGTTCATCCCCATTTTCCAAGGGGACGACAGCGTCGTTATTGGGGTGAGTGCCGCTCCAGAAGGGAATTTCCGAGAGAGGGCAGGGGGTTGAATCCTACCCCTCACAGAGCCTTATCCCCTGCCTGTCACTCTGTGCCTCCTCCCCGCCGTTCAACCTCCATCCTTTTCACAGCATCCCGTTTTCTCTCCTGCACTAGGATGGCTGGGTGTGGTCTGGCCAGGCCCGAGGCCAAGTCTCCGCAGAGTGGGAGAGGGCTACTTCCCCGAGATCAGGTCGCGCAACTCCCCTTTACTGCCCTCTGCAGCGTCCCCACCCCTTACAGCTAGTCCCGTGTTTTTCTCATGTTTTCTCTCTCCCCTAGAGAAAGCACATCTTCCCTTTGTTATTGGCTCACATCTCTACCCCCACCTCCCAGGAAGGGAGGGGTAAGACTAGTGGCTGGGCTAGATCTGAGATGGACAGTGCAGGGTCTCTGTGGAGATACAAGAGAGAATGGGCTCTAAAACCAAGCCCTCCATCTCCCTCTGATATAGTTGCAGCCTGGACTTGGAGGGAGGGCACAGGTCTGACGAAGGGTTTTCTGAGAAAGAAATACACTGATGCCACACCTAGTTATGGGGGGAGCTTCTGGGATCCGAAGGAAATGTCCGCCTTTCCCCTCCCAAGTGTAGTAGGAAGAGGATTTCAAACCCACCCAATTCCCCCTAACAACAACAACAAAAAATAATCAAACCCTAAGATCCCAACAAGTACTTGCTTATTCATCCTTTCTCTTGATGATCCAATAAAAGTAGCAAACCACCTCCAGCTCATGATGACAGTCCCTGCCCGTGGAGTAGATCTTATGAAGGAGAACTAATGTTTACTAATACGTGCCTGTTACTCTACATATGTAATCCTCAAAACAACCCTCTGAAGTAGGTATTGATATTAATAGCCATTTTACAGATGAGGAAACTGAGGCCCAAAGAAGTTGAATGACTTTCTCAAGGTCACACTGTGAATTCATGGATGTGAACCTAAGTCTGTGAATCCAAAGCTCATGTCTTTTCCTCTGTGTCACATTGCCTCCACAGATTTCTGTCCTTGATCTGCGATGGCCCAAAGGGGATTCCTAGGGGAACACCTCACCCACCCCTCCTTTCCTGGGTTGGTAGGGGTTGTCAAGTTAAGGGATGAAAGGATTGGGGTAGATGGAGTCCATAGGGCTTGAGGGGTGCTGGGCCAGGAAACTAGCCAGTTTGAGAAGGGAGGAGCACATATAAGGACAGCCTTCAAGGTCAGGAGCACTTCTTCAGTATCTCTGACACACCGTGCGTGGCATAAGGCATGCTTGTTAAAGGACTGAAGGAAAGAAGGGGCGGCAGCCCGGGCCTTCTGAATCAGTGGGAATGGGTCTTTGAGCAAACATACCTTAGGAAGAGACCTGCTTACATGTCCTGTGCCCAGGAGCCTCAGTCTGTCACCACACTGAGCTCTCTTGACCACACTGTGAACTCAAATGGGTGTTGGCACTGTGGGTGTGCTTATGCATGTGTGTGCCACATTGAGAGGGCTCTGTCTTTCCGCCTTGAGCACCTTGCAGTCTGGTCAGTGGATCATCCCTTGGGGTCTCCTGTCTGAATACTCTGGACAGCAGGCATTACCTACGAGAGTCAGAGTTGAGGTCCCTCTGAGATACAAAAGCTGAGAAACAGGGGGGAGGTGGTTATGGGGGAGCAAATCCACAAAAGGTTTCTACCTTTAAGCCTAGTTTCCTTTGCTATAGGTTTTTCAGGTAAGTCTAAACCAACTCCTTCAGGCTCTCTGGGCTGTTCGACCTGGGTGGTGAGCACGAGGCATGGGGCGATGTTGGGAGGAGTCGTGGTATGGACCTGTCCAATTCGTGCAGCCAAACAGGAGAGACTCAGTGCAAGGTGAGAAAGGAAAAGAGATGAGGAGAGGCCCAGGGTCCCTTGCCAATTCAGATTCTATCTGAGCTTCATAGCTGGTCCTTACTTTGTTTTGCTGATATTTATGGGGCTCTACCTTTGTCTTGCTCTTATCGCCCCTTGCCCTAGCCCTTCCTGTCAATCTCTCACTCCAAGATACATGATTGTGGGGGGCCATCTTGTCTCAGGCAGCATCCTTGGAGCCTGTCTTCCCAGCCTTATTATTCATTTGTCATTCAGGAGGATGAGGGCTATAAGATAAGTGATTTTTGAGGAGACCCTTGAGGGTCCCAGCAAGGGAAGGAAGTATCCTACTCCCTTCCTTCTTTCCCCCTCTAGCTCCTTTTGGTGCTCAGTATGTGGGAAACTCTCTGGGGCGTTAATGAAGGAAGCTGCTTCCAGATGTGAGGGAAGAGTGAAAGTGGGAGAGAGCGATCTCTCTGTACCCAGCCCCTGCTCCTTTCTCTAACGGCTGTCTTCTGTGCCTCTGCAGCACCGTGACTGGCTCTGGGCTTCAGGCTCCCTCATTTTCACGGGCTTTTTCTGCTTGGCAAAGGGTAGGAGAATAAACCGGAGGGACGGCTCTGGGAGCCTTATCCTCCCCTCACTCCCCTGGCTTGTCCCAAGAATCTGAGGGGTGGGGCTTAGCCAAAGTAATGGCTTGAGTCTTAGTAGAACGTTCCTAGACAGGTCACTGCCTGTGTGTTCTGTGTATTGTTTGGCTCTTCGTGTCACTCAGAATCCAGCGTAACTTTTTCACCAGACCTATTTAAGCATCTCTCTTAAATGTAGGAAGGGTGACAGGAAAGACACACACACACACACACACACACACACACACACTCAGTTTCTTCCTCTTTCTCTTCTGTCTTTTTCTCCCCCCTTCTGTCTGTTCCTCCCTCTGTCCCTCGTTCCCTTCTTCATCCAAGTATCCACTAAATTTTACCTCCTTCGGGTCTCCCAGTGGTTAATTGGGTTCTTAAGGAGGCAAAACCCCAGAACCATCCAGTACCTCAAGCTAGGTTGTGACCTGCAGGATCATTGGAGCAGAGTCAGTATTGTTTGGAGTAGCCAGGAGTTCCTGTGATATCTGAAGTTAGGGAACAAGCAGTTCTCCCCTTAGCTTTGGGGGAGGCTCATAAAGGAAAATGGAGAGGGGAGGTAATGTTCACTGTGGCCAGTATCTCTTCAGCATTACCATGGCAACAATCCCCAGGGGTGTCACCATGGAGATCAGGTCTGGGGATGGCAAGTTCAGCTTATACAAAGCACTTTACTGAGGGTTGAAAGGTTGGTCGTCTTTGGACCCCAGGCTGTTGTAGGCTGTTCCATCAGCTTTAGTCAGTCCACAAAATGGAAAACTACAGAAAGGTGCTGGGAGACACAAAAGGACGAGGAGACAAGCAGGAGGCTGGGAGTAGGGCTGAAAGACAGCAGCGAGTCAGCGAGTCCTGGGCTTCGAGACTGCAGAGAGGCTCTCTGAGGAAGGCCGTGAGGAGCTATTGCACTGCTGTCAGTGGGGGAGAGAGTGGGTCTCAGGAAGGAGGAGGAGGGTCTCCCTGAGTGTGTCTAATGTCTCAAGTCTTCCTCTCTGACATTGTACCAGCTCATGGGACTTTGGATTACTGGAGGTAGAGATGGTGAGGGAGGTGCCCCGGAGAGAACTGGAGGTGGCTGAAAGAACCGCAAACTTCTAAAGATAAGGCTGTGATTGGAAAAAGGGAGGGACAAAGAGCTTTCTTTCTGCCGGGAACACTAGGAGAAATGTCCAAGTGGTCAGGGAGGGCTTCGTGGGGGCGGGTAAGGGAACGCCACGATTAGGATCTGACACAGTGTTGGCTTCGGGTCACTTTGTGAGTCCGGAATCAGCTTGCTTGGGTTCAAAACTGTGCTCTGCCATGTCTCAGCTGTGTGACTGTGGAGAAGCTACCTTGCCTCTCTGAACTTCAGTTTCTGCACCTATAAAGTGAAATAGAAAATGTACCTACCTTTCAGGATGCTGTGAGCTATGCTCTATGCTAAGCTATTTATATGCATTAAATGAGATAATGCATATAAATAGCTTAGCATAGAGACAGGTACATAGTAAACTCGCAATAAGAGTAAGATGTTATTAGTATTTTATACATACCATCTTCCTGCAAATTAGCCTTTGACACAATTAGGAAGTGGTTACCATTTTCCCCTTTTACTGCTTGTTTCATCCAAACATCCAGGTCCGTAGTATCTCCTTGCTCTTTTCCTCCATCAATATCTGTTAGACGAATATTTATGAAGACCATCCTATAAACTAAAGATTGCATTTAATGGAATTTAGAAAGAAACTCTGTGCTCAGGAATCTCTTGAACTACAGGGTGGTGCAGGCTTCAGAGTGGTCAGGGCAGAGGTTTGGGAGGGAGCATTAGTCCAGTAAAGATGGTGGCATAGGCAGACATGGCTCACCTCTTCACATAACAACATTAAATTACAACTAACATATAGAACAACCATCACTCAGAACTGTCAGAATTTGAGTTGAATGAAAGTCTGACAGCTACAGAATTAAAGAAACCAACCACATCCATCCAGACTGGTAGGAGAGGCACAGATGCAGAATGGGCTGCCCTCACACCCACACGTGGTAGTTTAAAATTCAGGAGGGATATCTCAGAGCAGGAAGTCCCAGCCCCACACCAGGCCCCCCAGCCAGGGTTCCAGTGCCAGGCCATCCCGACACTTCTGGCTGAAAAAAAAAAAAAAAAAACCCAGCAGGGACTGAGTCGGTGGAAGAAACTGCTGGAGCCCCAAGCAGTTCCTCTTAAAGAACCCGCACATGGACTCGCCTACTCAGACTAACCCCCTCTGAGCCCCAGCACTGGGGTAGCAGCTTAAAAGGCACCAGAGGCATACAGTGAGGAAATGAAGTGTCTGGCATGGAGATAAGCAGAGGCCATTGTGCCTTTTCTAAACCCTTTCCCCACAGAACCAGCAAGCAGGTGCCATATCTGAGACGCCACCAACCTGGCTAACACTGTTTGATCTGCCTTGAAGATCCCTAGAGACTCTAACCCACACAACTTAAAGGCCCACCCAAGCTACTTTTCCATATGAATGGCTGGTCTTGGCTCACG